ATCGAAGGATAACCCACGATTCCCTTCTAGTAGGAGGAACCGGAAATTCACCTGGTTGTCTGTGTAAAATGTTATTAAATATACCATTTTCACTTGAAATTGGACATTTTGCAAAAACATTGGACATTTTGCAAACCAAATTGGACATTTTGCAAACCAAACTGGACATTTTGCAAACCACATTGGACATTTTGCAAACCAAACTGGACATTTTGCAAACCAAACTGGACATTTTGCAAAACAAATTGGACACGTTGCAATCTAAGTAGCAACTCGCCAATTTGTTGGTAAGAAACGAGCAGTAAGACTGCTGAATGATGTTCAGAATATACATTGTGATGACGCTAATACACCGGCATTGTGTAAGCAGCGGGCTACACTGTAAAACATTTGCTTGATCGTGAGCAGCGACCGAAGTTCTGAACTACGCTCCCCTCTCCCCATTGACATTCGCCTAATTGGTTTGCAGTGCCCATACGCATCAACCTGTGTAGGTGTGTGACAATTGGAAGATCGGACGTCCGAATCGTAATTGTGTATCAATCATTTTGTGAGTGGATTGCGATACGCAATCTCAATGTGCACCCTTATTCTCATTAGAGGGAACCTTGTCCGATTCGGTCAATGGGACCATGTCGGATGAAGCAGGTAGGCGGTGTCTCAGCTTCGCCCGTCTCTCTATTAGCTTTCGCAACTGCCACGTTATTGTATCAGCGTAGGCTGTAATGACCCCCAGCAAAACCAGTCTAGATCTAAAGCCTATTATTGCAACATATCAAATACTGAGGAGTGGGCCGATTACACGATGTTCTGGCCACATTGTGGTCACGATAATGTAACCGAACTGCGTACGTAGCGGGTGATTGTATAAGCCCTTCTCTTGACATGAGTGCCGTTTGCCTCGGTCAAAATCGGTGACCTATTTTCCCCTACACCCCCCCCCCATAGGAATTCGTGTGTTTTGTCTGGGTGTGTGGACCGACCTATGCAGCTGTACCACTATTGGAGCCGAGCATACGATAATGGTTCCACTCAACACAACTTAGCTTTTTTAGCTCCGTGCTGCACGAAACGACCAAAATGAGTGACGAACAACAGGAGATCTGGTGTCCGACGCGTCGGCACTGCAGGCGAACATCATCTGCGCAAAGAGAAATTCTCTTGACGTAACGCTGCTACTACTGTATGAAACCACTCTCTCTATGCCATCCCGCCCTTTTGTGACAAAAGCGCTCCAATGGCTTGATCGCTAGCATCCGTGTCCAAGATAAACTCCCCAGCGTGTGATGACAAGTCGGGGAAGATTAACATCAGGGCAGTACACAGAGACTCACGCAATCGATCGAAGCTCGTTTGACATTCGACCGTCCAATCGAAATTGCGATTATTCTGCAACAACGCGTTTAAATGGGCTGCGACCTCCGAAAACCCTTTTGTGAATCGACGGTAGTATGATGCCAGTCCTAAGAAACTGCGTAACTCCTCGGCATTAATGGGAATTGGCCACGCTTTTATCTGATCTGTTTTGCGCGGATCTGTCCGGATGCCTGCTCTAGAGATGATGTGTCCGAGATAGGTAACTTCTTCTTGTAGCAAGCGACATTTTTTGGTTGGAGTTTCAAACCTACCTTGATTAGACACGTCAACACTTCAGCTAGATTGCTTAGATGTTCCTCCTTCGTTCTCCCATGTACGATGACATCGTCCATATAGATGAGACACTTGTGAGGAATTAGATCCTGAAGCACTTTCTGCATAAGGCGTTGGAATGTTGCAGGAGCGTTTGATAGGCCGAAAGGCATTTTTTGGAACTCATAAAGACCTGAAGGGATTACAAAGGCTGTCTTCGCTCGGTCACTCTCTTCAACTTCCACTTGCCAATATCCGGACACCGAATCTAGCGTGCTGAAATAAGCCGATCCTCCGAGCGCGTCGAAAAGGTCATCGATTCTGGGCAGTGGGTATGCATCTTTCCGCGTGACCTCGTTTAGCCGCCTGTAATCAACACACAGCCTAAAGCCACCCAAATGAGTGTCACCAGCTGTCGACTTCACCTCAAACACACCATCCTCGATCGTCAACACCGACACATCGAATGTACCGCTACCGAGATCGAAAATTAGCACGTTGCGCTCAGCACCAACCTTCTTGTCCAGCCCGTACGCGATCTCAGCAGCCGTGGGCTCGTTGATGTTACTCAACACATTCAGACCAGCTATCATACCCGCATCCATAGTCGCCTGACGCTGACTGTCGTTGAAGTAAGCAGGCACCGTGATCACTGCATCTTTTACTGTCTTACCAAGATACGCCTCCGCGATCTCCTTCATCTTCGTCAACACCATTGATGAAATCTCCTCCGCGGAAAACGTCTTTGTCTCGCCTTTAAATTCCACACGTACCTTCGGTTTGTCGCCGTCTGCGATCACATTGAACGACCAGTGCTTGCGATCAGACTGAACAGATGGATCATTGAAGCGACGCCCGATCAGCCGTTTGGCGTCAAACACTGTATTCTGCGGGTTCATCGCCACCTGGTTCTTCGCCGCATCGCCAATCAATCGCTCTGTATCCGTGAAAGCAACGTAGCTGGGTGTCGTCCGATTGCCTTGATCATTCGCGATTATCTCCACCTTCCCATGTTGGAAGACGCCAACGCACGAGTAGGTAGTACCAAGGTCAATACCAACCCCAACCATCGCAAACCAGGGAAAGTATACAACGGCAAGAAGGTCTTCGGTGTCCCGTTGAAAGCAGGCGACCTCGTATATTTGCATCAGGCACCGGTATCCGGAATACCAGCGAAGCTGCATCGTGAGTGGGCTGGCCCCTACGTGGTAGACCGAATAATATCTGATCTGACTTGTGTGATTAGGGACCCAAAGAACGCCGTTGGGCCGCCCATGGTCGTACACTTTAATCGGCTTAAACCTTTCCATATCGAATCTGAGCATTCGGATGAGGAACATCACAATGAGCCACCGACAGAAGTAGCCACCGAAGTTGAAGTACCAGCTCAAGGGGGCTTTGGTGTGGCAACGGGGACGTTGCCTATATAGAAGGGGTGCGGTGTAAAGAGTGATGGAAACTAGTTTGGCGCGTGGTTGAATTTAAATCGTTGGTCTGACGGCACCTTTCCTGTCTGCCTTTCAGAAAGACACTCCTGCGCAATTATTGAAGAAGGACAAAAACCTGAAGCGAACAGTTGACTGTTGGTGCAGGTTTCACAGCCATTTAGGAGAGTTGAACGGACGGATGCGTTGTAAACTCTGACGTTGAGGGCGAGAGTAATGTCGCTTCGCCGAAATCACTCCTGTACAACTAATCTCTTGATTGCTCGTGCAAACTGGACGGAATCTGTGGGCGCTGGTGCAGAGGCCGACGCGGCCTACTTGGATTTCTCAAAGGCATTCGACCGCATAGACCATCGCATTATCCTCCACAAACTCCAGAA